TCATGGGTGTAGAGGGTTTAGCCCTATCACTGTGCTGGAGTGCACTATAGTATAAGTTCCCATCACCACAAAGACTTGAGTACTAAATGCACACAGTTGTGGGCTACTGGGCACTTGAGAAATTCTGAGTGCTAAATATACACAATCCACAGGTTTTTATGGGCTAAACCCAATGCACTATAAATGTACAGGCAACTTCACTCAAAGGTTCAGCTCCTCTGCAACAGAAGTGAGCACTAAACTCGAGTACTAAATGGCCACTATACCAGGGCTTTCAAGACCAACTCAATCATCATTGCGAATTAGAGGGCTAAGTTTTGAACGCTGAGGATTTGCCCCAAGGTTACCTCGATGATCCGGTTGTCAATGCGCGTGTAGCTGTGCCACATGCCCCTGTCGTCTCTCCACTGCCAGATGGCGGAGTCTGGTACCTGGTGACTGCCCTTCCTGATCATGGTGTTGATGGAGAAGATCCCGTCGCTGGGCAACCTAGGCATCAGTTCGCTGTCATCAGGGACAACAAAATGAACACAACAGTGACTAAGCACCCGAGGCTGGAAACAACAGTCAAGTTCCATCAGTCAAGTTCCATCAGTGCATTGACCCCTCATTACAGCCTAAATTTCTTGCATGCGTTCCTCTGAAGGGGGGGCTACTGTCTCAATCCTTCAATATCCTCCAGCCATGCCTGCCACTTGTGTAGAGGCAGTGCGAGTGACATCCTGGGAGCAGTGCCAATGATCTCAAATATAATTCCAGCTGAGTATCAACAAAGCATGGTCTAAACCAAAGACCATGACAAAATGAAGCCTTCGCAGTCAGCCACCCCTTTTACCGTTTAGCCCCCCCATCCCCTAAAATCTTACGTAACTGCCCAGAAGATGTTTGGAAGACTGAGAAAGGTAAAGGGGAAGTCAAACACTGGTCAATTTCATCCAGCGCTCCAGATCTATTTTGAGCATACGTTACCTGGGAAATTGACAGAAAGATCGCCGATTAAACTCAGCCAGTGTTGGTGTTCAGCCCAATTTTCAATCTTGCGCATATTCGACGCACTCCATCCAGAGTTAATTTACCTTTGATTGCAATCCCTTCGCAGGATGACCGACTCGGAGAGGGTACAATCCATTGGCACACGAGTCAAGATTGCGTGGAGCACTTGCAGCCTGAGTTAGGCTGCACGGTGCGAATGCACTGTTTTGTGGAAGGTGGCGACATCTCATTCGACAGTTTCTCTCCCCTTATGCCTCTCATGCCATTTCTCTCCACTGGAAAGGAATACATTTATGTATCAATCAAGAAGGCTACTCACCCAATTAGTGACGTGATCTCGTACAGCTCTTGTGGACTTCTGGCTATCAGCTATTGGATTAAACAAAAAAGGGAGACATTGATCTACATTCCCATGCATTCCAATGTCTGTTTGCACTTGACAGACCACCACAGAGAAAAAAAAAACCAGGCCAGCTGATTTCAACATTTGCTTATTAAGCGTAAGAATGCCTTGCTTAATAAAATAAGGTTGCCAGCAAAACACTGTGTGATGCATATTGCTTTTGACCGGTGTTTAGCTGTTGTTTGTTCAGCATGACAATCACATGGAGTTTGGGCCGGTCACCTTTACTTTATCAAGCAAGGTTTTTCCACGCTTAAGCAAATTTTGTGCTTAAGCAGCGCTGAGAAAGTGGACCCCTGCTGGTGTCTGGCTGGCCACAAATCGGTCAATCCAGCGGAATACTGGAAAGTTGGAATGTTTACGTTTCCGTGAGAGTGACGCACAGGGAACACAGTGCTTTCCTGACAGGAACAGGTGCTGCTCCCACTGTGCCCCCCTTCCGGATTGGGCTGGTCCTTACTTTGGCACAAACATTTGCCGCCTGTTTCCGTGTACTAATGCTTAGTTTCCCAAGGTTGTTACCCGAGGAAGCAGTGTTTGTTGCCAGTAATTAGAACAGGCTGGACGACTGCACACTACGCCTGTCCCTGCGCTTAACTTGATCTCCAGGGACAACTCCTGAAGTGCCTACCTCAATTTCTTGGCTCGCCTGCTCCGAGGAGCCCATCAGGAGGTAGCTGATGGTGTCTGCGATATCTGGAGCGAAAACAGGCAGAAACAATTCCTCAGAGGTTGAAAACACAATTCACTTTCCAAGTGTGCTGACGTAATGACAGTTTGAAGTCAATTCCAATGACATTTCCACGTCAACTTCCACAGGGCGGGTGTAACAGAGACACCAAAATGTCACACTTTTGGGCCCTGAATTTACCGACTGACCCATTGAACTTTCGGACATCTTCCAATGAAGCTCATCCGTGATGAATCTGAGGACTGATGCCCCACAAGACTGTGCCCCTCACCAGCAAGGATTTTTCAGGTATAAAGATCTAATGAATCCGTTTACAACCGGGAATTCAGGGGTCAGGCACCCGTCCGAGAACTTCTGCCAGTCAGCGCTGCAAGCAGGGTTCCCACGGGGCACTGATATGTGTGATGGGGTCAAACAAATTTTGCCAAAATTCTAGTTCCAGACTAAAAAAGTCTAATAGTACATTTATTCCAAATTTCCCCCCCAAAATACGTCAATCATGTATTCTGTGTCCATCTTTACCATTCTGAACAATTTCAAACTGATCTATTTGAAAAGACATTAATTACTTTGCCTTTTCCTTCCATCTTTGTCTATTTCAAGTGTGAGGTGGTAAAAATTCAACAGAAAAGCCCGAGGTGGTCACTAAAATCAGTGAGGTGGGCCGCCTCACACTTGAATAGGCAGGGGGAACCCTGACTGCAAGTAATAACTAAACCCTAACAATCCCCGACCAGCCAAACTCCAACCCCCGGGCCTGTTGGAATCTGTTGGGATGAGTGCCGCAACTAGCAAAGCCGCTGTGCTTTACTTGGGATTAGGGATACCGCAAATAAACTGTCCAACTGTTTGTGTGGACAAATCACCTCTACAAGCGTAAGAAAAGGCTCATTGTATACCACTCTAGCGCGACCGTCTTACTTTGCTTGAGGAGCTGCACGGCTATCTGCGGACAGCTGGAACACATGAGGGACAGCATGCGGATGACCATGATGAAGGTGCCGGTACTGATCACTGGCGGGCTCACCACAAGCTGGAATACAAGGAGGATATCGGTCAGTGTTTCAATCATATCCTGGATTTGGGTGTCAATGAGACACAATTTGTGGCTAAATAATTTGTATTACTTACTTTTATCTTGAATAATCAAACCTTTGTTTCAATAGGGGCGATTCACAATAGCGCGCCACCATGAGTTTGCAAAGCGTTGGCCAATCACAGCGCGCGTAATTTGTCGACACTATCCGAACGCGCATTGGGTCGACAAATTTCGGGCATTGTGATTGGTCAACGCATTGCAATCTCTTGGTGGCGCACTATTGTGAAACATCCGTATTCACCATGCAATCCCCGTCACTTTAATGTCAATAAATGACTCTGTATTTCACTCACGGCAAACCTCACGTCTGAAGGCACTGTGGTCGTTTCAATCATCAAATATAAGCCACTTAAAAAAATGGGCAAACGAGCAAACACAGACGATCAAGATGTGCGTAATAAGCATACATGGGAGTATCGGGGCTCGATTCAACGGTCACCTTCTTTTGGTCACTTGTCCCGAGAAGGAACTGTTTTCATTTATTCAAAGTAATCCACAAGTATTGACTGACCAGCTGCTGAAGGTTGGTCAGCAGGCCGTGGGAGGCTATCTCCTGCAGTCGCTTCTCGTCGTGCTGGAAGTTGTCCACCAGGCGGGCAAAGCACAGGCAGCAGCTCTCCACCGACTTCTTGTCCTGAAAAAAAAAAAAAAGATGCCATGCATCAACCACAAATCAGAGATCACACAGGTGGGAAATTTTGTACCGAGATGGACTTGACGTCACGAACTCAAATTTCAAATCCAAAATCTTAAAAATCACACTCTCAAAAACTGATTTTGCTTAGAAAAGAACTGTCAACCAAGTTTTCAGTCAACAGCTGTCGACTACCGATGGGGTTCCATGTCGCCCACTGTGGAGAACAGACAGCATGAAGACTTACAGTTTTCAATTTTAGATTGCTAGATAAAAAAGACTCTGGAACACTACAGCACCCACTGCATCCAGACAGCTCACCTGGTGCTGCAGTCGGCCCGTCAGCAGGACCAGGGATTCCGTCACCAGCTCAAACTCGTCACTGCCGATGCTCTGGCAGCAGTTGGCAGCCACGGCCAGGGCATTGCGCTGAGCGGCGATAGAGAAGAACTCAATGTACAGCAGGCACGACGCCAGACCGCCCTGAGAAATGACATTTTGAAAAAAAAAAATCTACAGAAATCGGACAGAGACTGTCACCCCCAAAATTTCACTTATCTCCAACTGGTGTGAGCCAAACATCAACACACAATGCTGATAGATTCACTAGCGTCAAAGTTAATCTGTAATGCACTCGTAGTCACTCACCTCATGTAAGGTCAATGCAACACCCCTCACCCAACTCTTCATCAATCAATCAACAACAAGATGGGGCAATCACCACCCCTCGAACCTTGAAAGCATCAGGGTTCTGCTTAAACAGCACTGGGGTCGCTGGATGGCACTATCTGAACAATGTTAAAACCTCCATCAAACCCACGACACAGAGTCTTTTAACCACTCTCAGCAAAAGACCCAGAGTGCACACAACCGATTCAATTCAGGAGTGCAGCCACACAGCGCACACAACAGAGAATTAAACAGTTTTACCCACAAAGACGGCTGGTGGTGCATTAACGCCAACACCTAGTTGCCGATAAAAGTATGACGATTTGTGGAGAAGATGAAATCTAGGACACTACTCCTCCCAGATGCTTGAAAATTAGCCAGGATGATTGAGGAAGGAAGAGGCTGGACGTTAATATGTGACCTGGGGTTAATCATGCCCCATGATAGTACAAAGAATGTGCGGTTGGGTTCCTGCATGGGCGGCAATTTCAGGGGGATTTGGGATGGTTCTACACTCATCTGCCAAGGGTGAAAAAAAAGTCACTACTTACTGCCTGTACGATGGCCTTGCTGTGTCTTCTGGACAGCATCTCCAAGGCGGTCAGTGACTGCTCGGCCACGTCCATGCACTGAATCACTTGAAGCTGAAATGGCAAGGAAAGAACAACAGGTGCAATTATAACGACAGCTCATCTGCCACGTTCAACTTGTTCAAAGATGCGTCTTTCTCAAACAAAAAAAAACAGGCCTGATATTGAGAAAAGGTAATTCCCTCTTCTATTCTGGTACTGGGCTAAGCGAAAAATTTCCAAAGTCACGAGTGCATCTGCTCTTTTACCTCAGCAACTGCATATCTAACTTTACCAATGACTCTACAAAGATGTCCGCTGATGCTCAGTGAAATTCTTCAACCCCAGAACTTGACCTCAGAGTAGTTTTGACAACCCATCGGCAACAGGGCAGCATTCCTCACTGCTGATACTAATAACGATGGCCTTAAAGCACTCCCTACAAGCAGCCATGAGACGTGGACACCAACCTTTTCTAGGAAAACAGGAATGGCGTCCATGACAACGGTGGAGGACCTCGGCAAGGCCTCCATCATGTAAGTGAGAGCTCGGCAGGCGTGGTTCATCTGCAAAAGAAAAGCACAAACATGAGAATGGCTCCACACACTCCCTCCACAAGCTACTCTGCTCTAAAGGGCGCACTAAATCTGCACTGGAGTCAGAGCTGGCCAGTCTATGACAGTCCTTCAGTAAGAGCTCCGTTGTTCAGGCTCTGAAAGGAAAAAAATCTGCTCCTGTGTAGCACGAGGCCCAACTACCAATAAGTTACGGGTAACGATGTTACAGTGGAGTCCTCTAGTAATACTATCACAGTATATAACAGGTGCACAAAATCTAACAGTATCTGTCATTGAAAGGCACCAATGTGCTATCATTATCCCTGCCCATCAGGGTCTTAACCCTCCTTCTGTTTTAACCGTCAAAAACTGTCAAAAATGCCTTCCACTTGATTTCCCCCAGTACACAGACACATATGGGAAATCTGACTGGTTTTGACTGATATGACAACTGTGTCAAGAATGCATCTTTGCATCTCAGCTCCCTGGAGAGTGTACAGCATGACACTGCCATTTCAGGCAAAAACGGCTGGATACAGTAGCATTATTTGCTCTCACAGGTACCACTTTACTCCCGGGTGGGGTATGTGACTTGCCAAAGGTCACAACATGTAACCATCAGCTAGGATTCGGACCTTCATCCCTATGATCGAGAGCTACAAACCCAAAACAACGGGGCAACGCGTCCCATTCAATGTACAAGTTCAAAGTAGTGCTCTGTGGTCACATGGTTACGGCAAGCCATACTTGTTTAGCATGGAAGTCCTCTAAAACCTAACTCACTATGTCAAAGTTGTGCTCCATGGCCAGCAGGGTGGTGAGGGCGGGCACCACCTGCTTGACGGGGAACCCGCCCAGCGTGTCCTCGTTGCCCATGACCAGGAGCTGGCACATCTCGATGACGGCTTGTAGCTGCTGGCTCTCATCCCCGCTGGCTTGTAGGCCGGCCAGGAGCTGGTGGGCTCGGCTACCTGTCGGGCATGAAAACGGGGGAGGAAGGACAAAAACAGAAAGGATATTTAGCAGGATTGATTCAACATTCACTACAAAGGCTGGTTCCCAAATGGGCTTCCAGAGGTACGGCTACGACTATTCTAGGCCAGTGCCTGTGCACCTGCCAACAGCGACGACCTAGACCTAGCTCTAGCCACAAAACTCAGCTGCAGCACGAGTATGATTAACTGAGCTGGCGCCTGCAAGCTGACAGTCGATTTATATTTTGATGCAAAACCCGCTCTCACGGCTTATGAACACAGAGGCACCTCTTCACTCTAATTCCACGGTGCTAATCAAATACCTACATGTAGTTAAAAATCAATTGCAGCAAGCCATGGATTCAACAAATGGTACCTGACGTGGTTTCTCATCGAAGATCTGCCGCCAGTCAATGTCACTTAACACTTGCTCCTTTTGTGTAGCCTTTTGCCGAGTCAGCCGGATAAGGCTATACTCCGGTACACCAGAATACAGTACCTTCCCACGAAAGACTCCAAACACAGAGAATTGGAAGGTGCCGTTTGAACATCAGATTACTGGCTTGGCATCCCTTGGAAAGCCGTCGCCCCTGATTGATACTGTGCTTTGTCGGTAAAGCCCAGAGCATTCACTTAAGGCAAACGTAATGTAGCAGTTGCTGCAAAGCAAAAGAGACTGTAGACAAGCCCCACTTGCTAACTCCACTTCGTCAATATGCCATGTGCAAGTTAAATTTGAACAAAATCTGGTACACTGTGTTATCTGATTGCACATAAACATAACAATTGAATTCCCCAAACTAAAGACACTGTTGCTTTACCTCGTGATTCGGGGCAAGCTTTTGCATAGCGACCACCATCTCTGGAATGGACTGGTTCCTTTGTGCCCTTCTTTTCCATTGAGAATATTGTATTGTTGCAAGGCATCTCTTATGTAACTAAGCAAAATCTTGCCCGGAATCAAGAGGTACAGCAACAGTGGTTTTAGTATGGAGAATTTAAGTTGTTATGTTCACATGAATTCAAAGAACTCAGTGTACCAGATTTGGGTCAAAGTTGACTCACAAAAGGCTTATTGCACAAGCATCAGGTGCGCGTTCATCTACATGTACAGTAGGCCTGAGTCTAATTTCCTAAATGCATCCAACAAGGCCGACTTACTTGCTCCTGTACCCATGCTTCTGTGTAGCAGCTGGTGCATGCGAGGCCCCAGAGCATTGAACAGGTGTGGCGGCAGGCCCCTTGCTTCCAACAGGGCTACATGGACAACAGGGTGGTCAAAGGTCAGAGTTCAAATGGTAGAGAGTTGGTAACTCGTAGGTGTTTCAGAGAATGGAAATCATAAGTGAACACTGTTACAGTGATGTGAACTGTACAGGTTATGAGGCGAGGTCTGCGGTCAAAGGTCAAGAGTTCAGTGCTCACAGAACAAAGCATGCTCGTGTGTTCACTAACCAGCTTTGACGCTGCAAACAACAGAGCTCTCAACTAACCTACTTCTCAAGTGTGCGTACACTGGGAGAGCAGTGCCTAATTTGTGGGAGCATGGATGTTAAGGTGCATTGACCCCACACCAGGAGGCAACAAGGGAAGTACATGGGACATTCTCAGAGGGTGTACATGTATCTGTCTGGAAAAGGCTGAGGCTTTCCAAATCTCAGCTGTCTCTACCTCTGGACTTCTTTCACGCTCCACAGTGAGTTTCCAACATCCACTGCTGGAGCCCAAATAAAAATTCTCCACACCTTGGTCTCATGTTAGACATAAAATAATGCTGCGTCCAAGCTTCAAGGTCTCAACTCTGGACACAAATTCATGAAACTAATGTCTGGAGCAAAAAAGACGGAGACGAAGCCCCAATTTGGAAAAACGTCCAGAGACATGAAGTCGGCTCTGAAGAACCCCCCAACAGTAAGTTGCACAAACCCCGTGAAAATGATACACACACACCACACAAAGCTGCGAAAAATATTCCCCAGCTGTGAGAAAAAATGCGGGTTATCAAGCAAAGCCCAACGTACCTTGGAGTCTGCCTACTTCAGAATCATCAGACTCGCCCTCCCCTCCGAGGGCCAAGGCTGGGGCTCCTCCCACTCCCCCAGATCCTGAAGCTGGGGCAGGCAAGCAACAAGTACAATCAGAATATCACAGAGTGGCAGCGTTTTACAAGAAGAGCAAAACATGTGGAAATACAAATAAGACCTTCCAAAAACCTTGTGATGAGACTTGCGCAATATTTTAGCCCTGACTGGGGTGAGGGGCGGTTAGTCATCTAGATGACAACCGAATTAGGCAGTGACTAACAGTTATCTGTTTGGATCTTTGTCTCGGCGAGTAGGGTTTGGTAAAGTCTACCTCATGTCAAATCACCCATCAGCCGCAAGTCGCATCATGAGTCTGGCGACAAGCTACACAGGATGAACAAGGTCAATGGAACACCTTTGTTCCTGTTTGTTTACACGGCTTGTCACGGGAACTGAGACTTGGTGGCTGGTGACCGACTTGTGGCGGGCGTTTGAGTGGGGCACTGACAGCAACCCTGATATATTGAGCACTGGGAGAAACATGTTGTTCGTGAACTGTAAGGTATCACCAGCCTTCATATTTTGTGTTGGTTTTTTGTTTCTTGTTCAATTGGCATTATGCTCAGAAAAAAAAAAAAACACTGCAGAGGTTACCCCTAAAAGGGCTTTTCCTTGCGGGGTAGGGGGTGTCCCTCATTACGATGGGGAGGGGCTTGAATATCCAACAACCAATCTTTTTTGAGTTGGCATGTGCGGGCGTGCAAGGGCATCCATAATGGGTAAACCAGTGGAGTGTTAATTTGATCCAACAAAGGGTTTGATTGCGTAAAACTGGAACACCGGCCAAGTCAGCTTGCCCCTCCCCTCCCCTCCATAGTTCCCGACACCACCTTCTCCAATCAGAACTGCCCAAAATACCTGCAGCGGTGGCCCCTGGGGCCAAGTCCTCGTTAGCGTTGCGACCAGTAGCTGAAGTGCCCTCGGCAGTGGCGTCTCGTCCAGACGAGGTATCTGATCGGCTGGTCCCGCTCTGTCCTCGCTTGCTCATCCCCGAGCTGCGCCTACTTCTGCAAAGGGGGGGGAGGAGGAAAGGAGAATCAAATAAGTGCACATCAAAAATGGATTGAAACTCGCAACTCTAAGACAGCAAGAAACATGAGAGTTTAAATTCGTCTGAATGACGGTGACCAAAGGAGTAGCTGGGTCATTCTATAAATTTGGGATCCAATATTTTTTCTCGTCCCTCATACATATTGCATATAATTTTTTTGATGTTTAGAACTCATTCTTCAATATGTACTGCAATTTACCTGCCAAACAAATAAAACTAGTTTGAAATCGATTTCAATGATATAAACCCTGTCAAATCATACAGGTCTGGCGTAACATGGACGGAAAAATGTCCCACTTCGGACTCCAAATTTATAGATGACCCATCTGCACTACATTGTACATAGAGGAGACGACAGGTCTACAGCCCATCAACACAGAAAGATGTTCAACTCAGAATATGTACTTATGTTCCCGGTCAAAATGGCCTGCATTATATGCTTCTTGTGACTGGTTCCCTTCATATTTTCCTTTGCACATGCACAGCTGCTAAACCAACCCTCCATTTTTAGTACATGTACGTGTATAAAATTCGGGCCCTGATTCACCACATGAAGCGAGATATGGGACAGAGAGCAGTCTCCCCCCCACTGGTCATTGTTTAATTGGAATCTCAGGAATTCTTTTCAGAAATCTAGGGGGGATGTGTTACATGTAGGTAACAATACTCTAAGGTGTGTATAGGGATCGGACATGGGGGGTGACATGTACCCGTCCGTCCCATATCTTGCTGGGCATATGTTTCACACGTTCTCTTAGCTCTCGAATCTGAACTCCCAATGGAGCATTACACGATGCAATGTAAAAATTCTTGAAAACAATGGAAATGAAACTGGACTTCACCTCGTCAGTCGGTGAGAGTGATAATGCACACACCGGATGCAACTTGAGCAAAAACAGGTGTAGGTGTACCCTACACATCCGACATGGAAGTTCAAGGTACCAGTAGGGAAATGTTCAATTTGTCTAGAACTTATAGTGTTTATCCTCGAGTTTTTCCACACGTACCAGTAGAACAAAACACAAGCCGATATATTACGAAACAGTTGACATAAGGCTCACAAAAACCCCAGTTCTTTGCACTTTAAAACTGTTTCAATTTCAAAGAATGAAAGTAAAACGTCAGTTTCGTTAAACTTATCATTCTTTTCCTCATCCCTAACAGTCCTCAATCCTCCAGCAGGTGAAGGATTGAGGACTGAATAGGGTTAATCATATGCACGTTAGTATTTCAAACACGTATCTTTTTTCAGGGTGGACATGTCTGATGCAACATGTTTACTTGGTTGAGAAACCACTGAAGCAAACCCTTGAAGGAAAGCCTCTGTGAAATTTGAATGGAGACCTTACGTATGGCAGGCAAAACACTTTTAGATACCACATGGAAACTTGGGGGAATTTCAGTTTGCCTGGTAGGTGAGTAAGATTGTCCAATTTGCTTTCAATTTTACTGTGTTTGATTTGTTTTTCTTTGGGGGGGCGGAGGGTTAGGGCTGTTGGGGGGGGTTTCAATTTTAATTTCTGTTTTGTCCCTCTTGTTTATTCGTGTTTTTTTTTTCTCCCCTGCATTCAGTATCACTGCCTAGTGCTAACCAAAGATCGTATAGCGCCGCGTAGAGGCGCAAGATGGGGAACTTCACCATGAATACGCATAAAACGCTGTTATCACATGGGCGCCATTCTGGTTCGCATTAACAGGCACTGCGCAGGCGCCGCAACAGGCACACGCACACACATCAACGTTCACACTCGAATGGCGCCCATGGGGATAACACCTTTATGGCCGATTTACCCATCTTGCGCCGCTATGCGGCGCTATACAATCTTTGGTGCTAACCTTTATGGTCAAGTTCCTCTGCTTATGCAACATATTTTTCGTGTACTCCTAACATGAACGTATTTTTAAAACGCTTATCCCAAAGAACTGCAGAAGGCTTTAGGTGACGGTGAATGGGGAAGGGGGGTCAGGTCAAGGGTTGGGAATTAACCACACACAGGACCATACGTCACTGAAATAGGTCAGCATCCAGTGAGGCAGTTAGCCCCTTGCTCTGCACTTCACTTCCCCCTGCCTCTGCCAATATCTGCCTTCCTTTGTATTAAACCGTTCCCTCCCTCCCCCCGGTGCTTCTTATCGAGGTACCCATCCACTTAAACCCAGCGGAAACCGCGCTCGATTCTGTCGGGGGGGCCGTAACCTTTGCACTGCAACTAGGCCACGACTCGATACATTACCCGTACTAAGCTCTGGGATAAAAATAACCACAGAATTTGTTTGGCACCTTTTTTGGGAGAGGGACATGTACAGTACCGGTTAACGTGCCGGTACCGGTACATGTGCCGATGAAGATTTCGAATGACACCCAATAGATTTTTACACAGCTGCAGTGAAACATCTGCTGATTTTTACTTGCCCTTGATTTCACTGGAAAGAGTTGGACGGTGCAGCATTCCAAAGTCACTGTGCCAGTTCCCGTGTGTACATGTCCATTAAATACGATTCAGCCTCCATTTCAAACCGGGTGGTGCCAAGAACAAGTATCAAATCTTTCCTACACAAAAATCATCCCGACTGCCAGATGAATACGCTTAAAGCTTTCCCAAATGCTGGTCTTGCAAAGCCAGCTACCAGTACCTACATGTACATGTGCATGCGATACAAGTGCAAGTACTACATGTAAAGTACCTTCCCAAAACTATTCAAAATCAATTTTTTTTCCTTCGACAACGAGCGGCCATTTATGCTGAGCTGTTATATGGTAAAAACTGAAACACAGGAACTCTTTGCATCCATCTGAAAATGAGTTAATGAACTGTTCTGGTCTGGGGGCCGTTTCTGATCGCAAGGTTATGGTGACATTTTCAGGATACACATTTTAACAGGACTGTTTCCTAAATATGTCTGATCTTGAAGAAATTCAAATCTTGCACATGTCTCCTGCCCGAAAACAGACTGAAAACAGAAGACACATGAATTGTACACAGTACATTGATACTGCACCGTAGAAACACACTGGGCAAACACTATGACAAACATGTAAAATTAATCACTTGAGACCGACTAAAATCTGAGTAAATATGATTATTGTGCGATGCTCTTACAAGATCCTACAGAACAGAACAGGATGAGTTGGTACCAAACATCCACTTAGAGGAGCAACGTTTCTTTTTAGAAACCCACTGCTTCTATTGCGTTTGAATATTCTAGCAAAGCGTTACCCCTAACAGTCCCAAATCCTCCGATTTCAATATGATTGCACATACATGTACACCCTAAGGGGGTTAACTCACAAGGTTGGGTGTTTCATTTAAACTGCTAATACTGAGAAAATGGTCTCTTTTGATTAGTAGATACAGTTAGAAGCAACATTTGACTTTCACCTGTTGCTATATCCCATAATCGGGCATGCAACTGGACTGTGACAAAAAACAAGGAAGTTCCAAGCTTCCCATGACTTCGTGCAGTGTTTTTCCATTCTCAATGGCATGAGTGTGTGACGTGATGAATGAGGAAATCAGCTAATCCGAGGAAAAGTTGCAAATCCCTCTGACCCCAAGAAATACTACGGATATTGCGCCAAGACCTCGTTTTAAGGATGGTTTTAACAAATCACAACAGTGAACAAACTCAATCTGGCATTTTTTTTTTTTTCTTCTCAGACTACCCGTTTCACTATTCTTCCACGACCGTCGCCAGACCATTGCAACATTTAATGTACTGTTACAGGCAACTATAGACCACATTGGGTACCGAAGTGTGACGTCACTGTGAACCAGAAAGTGCAGTGCAAACGAATGGAGTACGCGTACGTGTTGGTTCACGCACTCATGCCTTTTACACACTAATTGTGCGCGTGATGCATTCACTTCGGTGCTCTATAGTTTGCAGCAAAAGAAATTTGGTTATCAGCCAGGTCTGCTGGATTCCAAAACTCCAACATACAACTGAACAGACTCTACAGCTGGCTTGTCCAAATACCTAAAGGTATGGTACCCTATAACCAAGCACGCATACAGGTACATGTATGTGATGTACATACATGTACATGTACATGATAGGGATGTACATTTTCTTTCAACAGGTGCATATAAATGATTATGATGTCAACACCGAGTCTGTGCATGTACATGTATGGTGTCACGTTTCATAAGAACTAATGACTTTTCAAACTCAATTGCTACATAAAATCCATGAGTCACATCACAGCTTAGCAAATGCCTTGAACACCACAGAGTACAGGCCGATGTATTTTGGGGCCACGACGAGGCTTTGACATACCCAAACATGCGGGCGTAAACTGAGATGTCTATCGGAAAATCTTTTGCATTATCCAGAAAGAAATAACTACAGTATGCCATGTAATACTCCCGCAGTAGAGTACATGTACGCTGGCTTTGGCATTTTGCCTGAGATATCCCAAACAATGCGCACGTAAAGTGGCAATGCATGCCTCTAAGGTTTGGAGGAAACACCTTCATAAGGATGCTGAGTAGAATGTGTGATTGACAAATTTTTCATGGGCTGAGCTAAAATTAGTAACGAACCAGTCATAACTAATGAGCAAATCATGACTTTTTTGCCCGGTCACCTGGTTTGGCCAAAACAGGATCTTCCTGTGTTTGACAAATTTTCAGGCTTTAGCAGTTCCACAAATTGGCCTCGATGAAAAATTCCCTGCGTCTGCGGCGAGGCTATCATCTGCAACGTCCTGGAGCCAGAATTGTCACCGCTCGGTATAAAAATGATGGCAATGGAAATAGTTTCAGTCATCAATCAGCAGGGGTCGACATTAAGCTTTTTGGCCCAGAAGCTAAAAAAAAAAAACTCCTGGCCTTCAAATGTCAGGGGTTTTCCGGAACTGTTTCACTGAACCTGGGAGCTATTTTCAGTGAAGTCTTTTTCTGACTTTTCCCCAGCGTTTTTGGTTGAATTCTTTTAGTGTTACTCCCAGTTTCATTTTCAGCGTAAATTTGCCACAAAGAAAAATTCCGAAGTATTTAGCCTAATAGGAACACTTGGGCTTTTTTCAGAAAAGTCTCATGGGTGGACAGAGGCATGAAGTGTTGTCCGTATATGGAACTTTTTCCAAAATGAACTAGTAATACCAAAATTGTAAACATCGAGGTTTGTAGAGTGAGTTGGCCCTTTTCCCACCTGATCTGAGCACGTTTTCAAAATTTCCGTTCTTGAAAGAATGCACGTCACGCACGTATAATTGCGTGTCCAGGTTTTTGGATTTCCAGGCGCAGACTGTGTTGCCTGGCCGTCTATGGTATACTCCATTCATGTCCATTTCTGCAGATTTGTAACCCGAGGATCAGTCTTACCAAAAGATGTATCCAAGTCAGAACCTCTTGGGCTAATTGTACATGGGCGTTGCACTGATATTTCAATGAGATTATGTCCAAACATTGTTTGAAAGCTCATACAAAACGATGCCAAACCGTGCGATAAAGCACGACACAAGAACTTTATACCCGGCACCAGTTGTTACAAAGCCTTCTATCAGCGAAAGCGATGTCTTACTTCAAGCCGCAAATCATTGTGTCAATGCAACAAGGTCACAACTCACATATGCATGTATGTTTTGCATACAAGATACCGGTACAATTAAATGTTTGCTACCACGACTTACAGGACCGTTTTCCAAGACTCAACTTGGGCTACGTCTGAGGCTTCAACTGTTTTTTACTTCCTGACCTTGAGGTCGTAAGTGCAATAGTAAGTCCGATAGCACCACAAAACATCAAGTAAGATGCGAAAGAGCCAAACTACACAATATTTTAATTTAATTTCAACGCTTCAGGCCCACAATCGGGGATTGGTTTCCTACATGAAGCCCGAGACGGAAACGAAGTTGAGTATTGAAAAACGGGCCATGTACCGTACCCGGTATAGTGGAGCTTGTTAGTCACTACTTCCGTTCACGCTAGCACAGCTGCAACAAGTCCCAATGGCACATACATGAATATCGATGTTTCATTGGCAGCGAATAACAGCATAATGACCGGCTGGTCCGCAAATGCTGTTCACATTTAAGGCTTGCTCCACACCAAACAATGCCCCCACACAGATTTGCATACAATGGACAAATGTACATGTACATTGTACCATACAGCAGATTCAGCTCAAAAAGAGGACGTGCAAATTTTGGCCTGGCTATCGCGTCGGTAGAAAAAAGAAAAAAAAAAGAAACGGAAAAATCGGAACTTGCAAAAGGAAGAAAAGCAAGGAAAATCTGTTTTTGGTATCAAGCAAGCTTACAGTTAATAAGGGTAAAGAAGAGGTGAACTCGCTGTACCAAAGGTATCGAATAACAACATAAAAAAGAGCAAATTGCGCATTCTGTCGTGACTAGGCCAAACCAGAGAACGTTTGGCTGATGGAAAAATACCACAGACTGAGAGGAAGCTTCCAATGGGATGCTGCTAACTGAAACTGCTGAGTTCATTTCTGGTCCAAGATTTGTGGAAACTGGGAGCTGGAAGGAACTGTGCGCCGACATGGATATCAAAACTGCAAGTAACATTTTGACAGGTATCGGAGGAGAGGTTTGAGTAATGCTGAAGGAAAGTTTCAATCGCCAATGGGTCAAAGAGATTCCAAAGGGGCTTTCATCCTTACGGACAGCAAACAGGAGCGTAGCGACTGGGGGTGTGGGGGATGCGGCAACCCCCCCAACAATTAATCCCTCTCGACAAATACAGCTTCGGTCGGCAAATGAATACAAAATTAGTACATTAATTAATGATATACATTGGCCATCCACATTTCCCCTGAAGCATGAAATGCAGCATACTATGTGAATTTTACACAACACAAGGCTGGCGAACAAGTTACAAGTCAGCAAATTGACTCTGGCACCCCCCCCAAGAAACTATCTTCGCTACGCCCCTGACAGCAAAGGCTGCATTACAAATGACAAAGCTAAGAAGGGCCCCCCCACAGGAAACTTATCTGGCCACAGAACATGGCTAAAGATCAACAGTGTTGAGACTCCGGGGAAGGGAAAGCTGGAGAACCCAGAATAAAGCCTTTGTGCCGCGGGAGAGAATCTACAAACTACCGGCATATGGCCTGGGCCCGGGAATCGAGCCCAGACCGGTGAGGACTAGAGGCGTGTGTTCTACACACTGGCCAGAGAGCAGCCATCTATGCCAGTGGTACCCCAATTGGAATCCCAAAGCAAAATAACTTCACAGGCTTTCCTTCCACAGTAAAAAGGGCAAATAACAATTTCTTCTTCCATTTTATCTTTTTAATATGACAATTTTTGGATCTTCAGACAGTGGCTGATTAAACCCTCAACGAAAATCAACAGTTTGAAAGAGAAAAGACCTCGACAACTCACAAACTCACAACTTACTTTTACAAGGCATTTCTTTTTACATTCAGCACCCTTCCAGAAACAAGGGATTTACCAACCTTCTGAAAAAAAACCTAGGTTTTATTAGCTGTAGGAGGCATGATGAACCTACAGGAAAGCGGGACTCTTTAAACATTTACAACGAAACTGGTGGCTCGTCTTACCTTGTGCTGGCGCAGGTTCCCGTGTTGGTGTCTGTGGCACGCTGCCGGGAGCTGTCTGGTTTGGGAGACGAGGTCCTGGCCTTTGACTTGCCTGTCGAGAAATGGCAGGCAGAGGAAACAAATCAGATGCAATGTAAACCTCCACGGGGCATAGAACGTCACTCGTACTATGCATGAATGCCAATATAAACATGCAACACGGCAGTATTCAATCATGCACACTGGCATCACGTCGACTCCAGCAAATTTTTCAGGGAGACGTTGTCAAAGCATCGCACGTGGTGTGACGGCGAATGAAACCCTACATGAACTTCCCGCTTATCCAACAGTGCAAGCAATTACAGCACGAGGAGGAAGGGCGAAGATGAAGACAACAAGGACATGTTCAGTTTACACAGGCGGGAGAAAAATCTTTGACAGATACTCTAAGGAAAACCCACACAATCAGGTAGGGACTGAAAACCTTATCCACACAGGTGGAATTCGAACCCCAGGTCACCGAGGCAGAAGGAAAGGAAAGTACCACTGTGCCCAACAGACACCTTACTAAGCACCATGAAAAACAAATTTTTTTCTTTAAAGAGGATTTTGGAGGATGTCTCCAAACCCAAAGGATGGGGGAAACCCTTCTAGGCTCAATGCTCACCTTTACTTGAGGTGGCCCTGCCTTTGAGCGGGCCTTTCAGGGTCGCTGGTAGGGCTGTCCCTTTCTCTTCGACTCCTGCTGAGGGGGTGGAGGACGCCCGGCCTCGGGTTACTTTCTGGCGGGTGCTGACCCCAGAGGTAGAAGGCTGGGTGTGGGCACTGCTTGGCAACTCCGAAGGAGAGTTCTCCACAGACCTGTTACGGAGACAAATTTTTTAGCAATAGGTGGGTGACCTGATAAACTTCACAACTCTGGGGGTGTGCGAGGCCACTTAAAATTAAAGCTGAAAACAGCTAGCAAAAAGCTGAAATGTAAAAAGTTCCCACACTTTTGTGCAGACCAAGTGTACAAAAAAGCTGAAATTCAGGGTCAGCATCTACACAAAAAAGCTGAAATCAGCCAAAAAGCTGAATTCTCACACCCCTGACAATTTTTGGACAGCAAGGCACTGTGATCATGAGCTTACCCAAGTAAAGACATTTTGCCACTCTCCATGGCTAAATGACATAAATGCATTCTGTAACCAGGCTCCAAATTAACATCTGATCACTACAAAAAGCACTACTTTATTTTAAATTGGCAAATGAGGTATAACCATGTCCTACTTAAGTGTTTTGTGGTTAAAACCATTCATATTTGCATTGCGTAACAGCAGTAGATAGCCGAAACCTGACATCTCAGCTACCTCCTCAGACTCGACCTTCCGTTTCCATTGGCCTGCCTTGTGACAAAAACACAACCATGCACCTGTGCTAGGGTTTTGTGCACATTCAGTCGAAATTTGTGCATGCTTCAAGAAATAAGCACTTACATGTAATGTGCGATGCCGGAATAAATCTTTTACAGCGGATATACAATTTGCAAAACAATTAACACCTGATCCCATTAAGTTTTATGAGAGAACTAGTTCCGTGCCATTCCCACCATGTTCTCTAACTAAGGTGTATTTAACTGATATATATATCAGTACATGTATGTTTTAGTCTTTACACACTCAGTTGAGATTCGTCAACTGCTTTCAGTAATGAGTACATAAAGAGAGTGGATTTGTAAATAGCTTACGAAGTAAGAATCAATACCTGAGTCCACTAAACAATGAAGAACTACGTGATCTTGGTGTCCCAGAAGAAGCTGTAGTGACGGTAGAGGTCCCTGTGGGTGTCCTGGTCTCGGACTTGGACGACGATGTCGTCGGGGGTGAGGTAACAGTCGACGAGGATGTGCCGGCGCCCCAGGGTGGGGCAGCCCTGCGTTGGGTACTCGTCCTGCCTGGCGTACGGCGCGGCGCGTAGTAGTCCAAGGCCTCGTACTGGTAGGGGTGGTCCCTGGAGTACGAGCGCAAAGACCGGAAGGTGATCAAGGGGATCTCCTCGCTCAGTCCCGGCAGGCTGGCCTCCCCGGTCTCCGATTCCGGCCGGTCGTGGGCGGCCCGCAGCCGTAGCTTGCTGTGTTTGTCCCCAATGGTGGCGTCGCTGGCGGACGAGCCAGCCGAGGAGCTGCTGGCTTTCCTCTTTTTGCCGCTTCCGGTGTCCGGAAGGCCGACAGTGCCGGCAGCGTCTCTGAGGTGGTGGTGGTGCTGGTCCTCCCTCGCGGGCTTGGTCTCCGAGCTACGGCTCCGGCTTCGGGACCGCTCTCGGCAGCTGTTGTTCAGCAGTGGCTGAGCGGCAGCGACTGGCACAGAAGAGGATGACGAGGAGGATGAGGAGCCTGTGCTCTCAAATGTCAGATGCCTGTCAAAGGCGCTGGCGTTAAGTTCAACTGGCAAGCTTTTCTCGTTGGGGCCTGGGTGCTTGGCGAGGAAGCTCGGCGATGAGAGCGTCGGACTGAAGTGGGCAATCTGGATGGTCGCGTTGAGCTTGACCTCCTGGATTTCACGGGCAGGTTGCTTGGCAGGGATGCTAAGATTCAGGGGCTCAGACTTGCGTTTTGAGGCTTCACCGGTGACCTTGTAATTACTGGAAGTATACACAAACCACAGGTTTTAAGTGCTTTATCAAGTGTCTAATTTGCCAAATGAATGAATTCTGATGAATTCAGAAAACCTCGACATATTGCACTGTGAGAGTGAAGGGGAAAGGTTTTTTCTTTAGGATATGTTTAATCCTAACCATCCCTTGATCTTCCAAAATCAATTCCAAAATCTAATTGGGAATTCTTTGGTCGGGAACCTACCTGAATCTTTCAAACCCTCCACTGTACAGAAAACCAATTCCAAATTCTTTGCACTCTCAAAGGGCATCAAGCAACAAGTAAAACTAATAGGGGCTTGGCTGTCTTCTTTAATCCTACAAAATCTGCATTTTTAAATGGACTTTTAAGGATTCAGGAGGGTACGTATTACAGAAGGAAGAGCCCAAGTTGCTATTTAACGCACATGGGATGTGATGTACCCTGGAAGTTCAAAGAATGTGCCACTGCCTTTCTGCACGGTGGAGAACTGCAGTTCCCAAAATCAGGCCGCAAGAGAGTTCAGACAAAACATACAAGGACAATTAAATTTATTTGGCCTTTATCAGCCTTCGATTGGACAAATTAACACCAAGGTCACATGAAAGCAACCTTTAAGAGTTTTCATGTCATGAGCACAAATACCCAAAGTAAATCACCAACAGATTTCATTTCCTTCATTTATTCTGTCTGACCACATCTATTTTGGGGTTGGAAAAATACCAAACTTGGTTGGGAATTGGCTGATGCATGACTGTGACTTTTATCTCTGTGCCGAGAAAGCACACAGTGAAGCAGGGTCAATAGGTTGACGGAGCAAGGAAACTACAGGCAGGCACTACTGCTGACCTTTTCTTGGCGGCTGGCTTGTTGGCGGGAGCTGGGTGGGCGTTCCCCAAAGCTTCGTAGTGGTTGATAGATGTGGCGGCAGTGGTGGTGGCTGCAGTGGCTCCACGCCTCGTCGTGCGACGCTGTTGTTGGTGCTGATAAGAAGACCCCCCTGATTGGTGGAGACTAGGGATGTGGTCGGCCATAATAGGCGGCGGTCCCAGACGGAGACATACCCAGCCTAACAGGTTATGCTCTGGCTACTGTGAGAAACAAGAGAAAAAAAAAAGGAACAAAATGCGTAAGGGGCCAATTTCAGGTGGGCTGTCAAGCACATGCTGTGATTTGCTACGGGCAGGAAATATTTGCTTAGCAAACAGGTCACCAGCTAGTATGTTATGCAATATACCCTGCCTGTGACTGGTTCCCCGCTGACTTTGCCGAATTGTATGAGGAATAGGGCCGTAATCATGGGCCAATTTTATGACTCATTAACAGGGGTCAAATTTCATGAAACAAAAACAAACAAAAAAATGGAAATCTACTTGACCAAAACATGTCACAAGACCCACACTGTAACCATAGTGCTCACAACCAACTGTACGGTTACCCATGTCAAACATTCTTGGCAGTCATGTAAAACAAAACTGCATATTTTTGTACGTGTACCTTTGTCACAATTCAGCTGTCACAATTTCTTTTACAAAGATTCTGGAGCTTACATGCTTACTTCAATGCCACAAGACTGACGTCAACATAATTGGCCTCTGTCCAGCGGTACGGTGGGTTTAACAGCAATTAAAGCACAGACATATGCTCAATATGCACAATGTCAGCTATAAGCAGGACATCCCAAAACTGCATGGCACTGCACGTGTACATACATGTACATGTACTCAAGCACCCCTTTTTCGATATCGGGCAATACGCCGGTCTTGGATTTCGGAGTTGCCAAGCGGGACACACTGCTCAGAGAATGTTGTAAGAACTCTGTTGAGGATTGCGCAGAGGCAGTACACACTGCACATTATGCTAGCTGGTCACCAATTTTTGGGATAAGTATTTCTTACGCTTAGCAAATTAATACTCAGCTCACTGGTTCCAGGCGATTAGTCACCGCTCAAAATTGGTGACTGTACACGTACACGCACACATGTAGCTACCAAATGTGGCCTCCACTCAAAGCCAGTCTGTGGTGATGTTATCATGATTTATATGTCAAAGTACATTTTGCTTAACGGGACAAAGTAGCAATGCGCACTCTTTATATTAAATCACTGTCACGCTAATCCGTTTAATATAGGATATCCCTTTCGGTCTGTTTTGATTTTGGAAAAATGAATCAGCACAATGAGTACAGGTCTTCACTAATACATGTAGAGAGAATGCATGCATACTGGCACTGTAGCTGTGGAGACCAGACCACACACGTTTGGGGGCTGAAAGACATGGGGAGAAAGCTTTTGGCCCCGCAACTCGGACCTGAATTTCCTGACAAAGGAAACTGGGCCCTCAACATAGTAACGGCTTGTACATATGGGACAGCAGCATCCATGTACAAATCGCGCGAGACTAGTGCATGCAGTGATCTGCTGTGCGATGTACAGCATGCAAGATGCATGCCGAGAGTCTCTCTTCCATGCTTTGAGGCCGTAAGCGTTCTTCTGTGGAAGATGAACCCCGCCGCCTGGAGATTAGTTCCAGGATTTCTAACCTCTTCGACTTTTTGGGCTGGCATGCGAGTTCATTCACTCCACCAACCTCTCTCTCCAGACAGGTCAAGCTACTCCCAAGAACACGAACATGTACATGCATGGACACAGTACAATGAAGATCAACCCCTGTGCACATGTAAATGGCACATATTTATACATGTACACTACATACACTGTTTTCACATGTTGGAAAAATGAGTGTCTGCAAATGTGTGGACACACATGTACATGTACATTGGTCAACATGTGCACTGAACGCCAGTACATTTTAGCAAAAACACTGCACTTGATCACTGAAGGTTTACGCACGACACAGCTGTGATATACGCTCTTCTGCAATGCACAAAAATCACTATCCATCTTTAAGATCCTTTCCAACAACACCCTCTGATGTTAGCTTTAATGTGCATACATGCATCCACGGATGAAAGGAGGTGTGGAGCAAAAGAAGTGCCCTTCAAGATGGCCTCCATGCAAGGCCTCTGCGGAAGACCAAAATAATACACCACGAGACAAATGAGAAAGCAAAACAATGGACAGCATGCAGAGGTCAGCCTTGTGCACGCATGCAATCCAATCAATATTTGGGTTATTTTCCGTGGGCAAAAAAAAAAAAACAGCCAAGAGCAGGGGAAACCGTTTGTATGCTGTGCAGCTCCAGTGAGGTACCGTAGAAAAGCAAACACTGTCATAACATTCTGCGATGAATGGCAAATCACTGGGAAACTTATATCTCACGGTGAATCATCTTTCCTCCAAATTACATGCCGGAGGAAACCTGCGTTAAAAGCCTTCATATTGGCACGGCACCCATCATAATCAACTTCAAAGTATTCCCCGTGCACGAGGCATGCTGTGCACAGTGTAGACTTCTGCTATGTTCAAATTGTACATGCAACCGTCGTGTACGTGTAACCACAGGCTCGACTATCAAATGTCCATTACGGGAGAACCTCCAAGAAGCTGTGAAATGAATTCCCACTGCATATACATATACATGTGTGTCCATGCCTCGGCGAAGCACAAACTGGGTCATCCGACACACTCTCTGATTTGGGTGCATTTTTTTCCCCTCTGTTTACTAAGCTTGTGCCTTCGCTTTTTTTCGACAGCTGTGATGTCGCTCAGGGATTTTCTTCTGATGAACGAACATGGGCCTTGTCCAAATGAATTGGCTATGGCTCAGAGTAATGCATGTACAATCTGTGGCTACGGCTAGCCAATAGCCAGCAGCTTCCACAAGCACATACCTGGTTTTTTTAAGCCCCAGCCATCCAGTTTAAGTACATATTCCTCAAGCGCTATACTGACAGCTGTTTATGTACAAACTGAAACAAACGTTTACAAAGTAACAGACTACAAGCTGAAGCTGATTCTTTAATTTAACCCTAACCCCTCCCCAATCCTCCCAAATCCTAAGGGCAGTTTTGGAGGATCCAGGGTGAATGGCAAAAGTGCACGGCCGATTGCGAAGGATGCCATGTGTGAAGGTCGTGGGTTAGACCTGGTGTTGTTTTGGCTCAGTCATGCATAAATTCAGCTCATAGTTCTTTTGAATACACCGGACTGCTCAAGAATGCCATGGATGGGCACAGCCCCCACTGAGGAGAGGAATTGCTGGAGGACTTTGAAAGCTTGAGGCAGCTGGCACACCTTCAAGTAACATTTTAGATAGACAAGATATTTTGGAGCATTTCGGAGGATTGAGGGAGAATCCAATTTTTTCACACCCCCCCCACTTGGCAGATTCTGGAGGACCAAGGAGGGTTCTGAACAAAAAGGGCCTTGGGAGTTAGGTTAAAGATGACATCGGAGTTTTCCCTCATAACAATGGGCGAGTCTACCCTGTATGCATGCATGAATCATTATATGAATCATGTAGACCAGTGTGGTCTTGGGAAACTTCACTGTAATATGTAGCACCTACAAACTGCACACATGCATAGTGTGCATGTGGGCTATATGTTATGTACACAAAACAGTATGCACCTGTACATGTACATGTGTACTTGTGGACATGTACAGTACACCTTGTCTATGACTCATAGCATAGCATTGAGTATAACATCTACACACTACAGGTATATCTTCAGGTATACAGTGCCATGCTGACTTGCTAACACAATGTACATGTACATGGATGTGCTTACTGGCATGGGGCCGCATTGTGTGACCACAGTGTGAGTGACAGACAGACAGCGGGTGCCTATGGGAGAAAGAAATGCCTGACTTGTAATTGAATTTCCAGCAGCAGCAGTACTTAATCCCGTTACCCCACAGACAATAGGAGATGTACTCTACATTGTGGGGGTTGAGCCAGGGTACATGAGGCCCCTGGGCTCTTGAGAGGGAAGGGGGTTTGGACCCCGCCTCCAGTACGCAGCAACCCGCTTCCAATTTTATTATTTTTTTTTTCCCTTGTCCTTATTTTTGTTCCAGGACGTGGAAGTGGACTGTCGGAATCTAACGAGGAAATTTCAACATGAACATGTACTAGCAGGTGGCTGAACATGCTTTTGTTTTTCGCAGTTTCTGAAAGTGGTTTGGGAAGGGATGAAAAAAAAAAAATGAGGACATTAGCTCCACCAAGTGAAAGTCCCGTGCCTTACCAGCTGCAGTTTCACTGGAACCAAACATCAGCACACCTGATGTTCCAAAAGGAAACCTTCTACCCCACACAACACCTTCCACAATAGCTTGAAAAATCCTGCTGCATGGCTCATGGCATGGGGGGATACTGGCCAGTACAATGGGCCATTAGAGCCTGGGGCCAATTCCACAGAGCCACTTAAGCAAAAAAAATATGCTTTAGAGCGAGAAAACCTTACTTGATAAATCAGGTAACCAGCCAAAACTCCACGTAATGTACATGTATATTTTGGGGGATGTGTTTAGTTGTCTTTTTGGTTGGCATGACAATCAGATAGGGTTTAGCTGGTAACCTTTATTCATTAAGCAAAGTTTTTCCTCCTTCAACAAATTTTGTGCTTAAGCAGCTCTATGAAATTGGTCCCTGGTTTTCCTGGCTAAGTTTCAAAAGCACTTTGAGCCCGAGTTAATACCATGCCGTAGAATTATCGAGACTGTCGCTTACACCAAATGTACGAAGCACACAATTTATGTGACGTAGAAAAGGCTATAAGTACATGTATCAGACGGGTCAGACCTATTTTTTACATATGCACAAATCAATTTACGATACATGCCACCTGCAATGTTTCAGGTGTACAAGTACATAACATGTGGACACTGTCCACAATGTACAGGTATGCATGTAATCATACATGTAGATTAAAAAATGCTATTTAGTACTGCACATGCACAGAAGCTGTATAATCTACATAATTAGGAAGGATCAGCATTTTATGCGGAGAAACCCCTTATCAGTGCAACTACATGTATGCAAGTCAATTATTATTTTCTCCTCAGTAAATGCCAAACAGTGCGGCCAAAGTAATAGTTCAGCCTCCTCTGACCGGTAAATGGCCTCTGGAAACGCAGTAGGTTGGTAGGAAAAATTTCTTGGGCACTTTTACCTGACAGACGGG